GTTTTGGAATGGGCACGACAGTATTTTACGCGCTTCGCATAATTTGTCATCGTAAATTCGAGCCCTGTATAGGATTGTGAAGGACGACGCTTGGGGACGAATGTCGCAGGGAGATGTATTGGTGAGCGTGTGCGCGCTAGCGTGAGTATAGTAACCGTGTGATGGTGGCTGTAACATACGCACTGCTCTCTTCCCCTCTCTCTCTCTCTCTCTCTCTCTCTCTCTCTCGCTCCTTTCACTGTCGTGCTGGCATGTCATCGTCCACAGTCCTCGATCCTTCTCTCAGTCACTCCATCCGCATATCGGTCCGTCGCTCGTCGCCAAATCTTACACAGTCTGTGTATATGTCTGTCCTTCCTTCCCTCACGCGGTGTGTCCTTCAACCCCATCCATTACTCGCGACCCCTCAACCATCAAGAGCTATTGATACCTAGCTATAATCATTAGCTATTGTTACCATCTATAAAAATCCGGTTATAACTGCCTGAAAAAGTAAATATAGTAAATAAGTATGAATAAAATAATAAAGGCCCTCACTCCCCAATCTTCCCAGGTTGAAATCAGGAGCTAATAATGACAAATTAATAATTTGGCAAATTTTTGACAAATTATATTTTGACACATAATTTCACACAATATATTTATTTTTGTGAATTATATTTTCGCACAAAATTTTGACAAATAATTTTACAAATTTAATAATTTGTCATTATTAGCTCCTGTTGAAATGCAAGTATTGAACTGATGTAGCATAGCGTTGGTCGTGTCGGCTGTGACCTCGGTGACTATAATCTATTGGCTGGATGCCACGGGTCAGGAAGAGTTGCTTCTCCCCCCACCCCCTCACCACCACCACCACCACCACCACCATCACCCATCCCTAACTCACGTGGTCGGAGCTAGGGTTAAACTTGCCGAACTTGTCCTCTCGGAAATTTTTGCGGTGTGTAGTCGTTAGCGATATATACAGTAGAGAGACGGTGCAGGGACGAGTGAGGTGGGGAGGGAGGAACACAGGGGGGAGAAGGTGACACAGGCAGGGCGGGTGGTGGGGGAGGGGAGGGGTTACGCGATGATGGGGTGCATATAACACGGCTGGACGTGCGTGGAGTGCGGGTGGGACGATGTCGAGGGCTGTAAGAGACAGCTAGCTGTTTGCCGCAGGGTGACATGCATGACCACGCCCTGGCTCCTCCCCTGCCATCCGCCTTATATAACGTGTACTGCGCGGGGGAACCGCACACACATGCACGCACGCACGCACATGCATGCACATACACGCACGCACGCACATGGACCAAGCACACACATGCACACACGTACACGCATGCACGCACGTATACACACGCACGCACACGAACGCACACACATACACATATACGCACGCATTTACGGAAGCATTGCTGTCATATACGCTGACTATATTTCCCGCGGCTGACATAGCGCTGTATTATCATTGCTTCATTTATATACTTTTGCTTCAGTAAGAAGAAGAAACAGAGCGACCTGAGTTTGCTGCATTAGAAAGATTTGCTGAGCATCTATATAGCCAACCCTACAGATATCAGCGGAAAGCGACAGTCCCTGAAGGTTAGTGTGCAGTTACTGTCTCCAGATTCCAGTTAGTTTTGTGTCGCTGTGTGTATATCGACGGGAATAAGCATTGGCTGCTCTCTCTCCCTCTCTCTATTTTGCTCGCGCGCTCTGGCCCTCTCTCACTCTCTCACTAATCGGTCGCTCTCTCACTAATCGG